CAACTGACCTAAACAAGGAATTATAATTAATGAAAAACTAATAAAAATTGCAAATGTCTCAAAGAACTGCAAAAAAGGCAGAAAATCCTAACATTGACATTGCTTTTCTGAAATAGTCTTAAACTATAAGAATGTTTCTATTTCTACAGCTTTTTATTAATTTGTTAAATGCTAGAGAATTTTTTTATATCAATTGAATATGGCTCATAAGTTAGAAAAAGTGAAATCCAACATTGTTCATCAGAAACTACATGGTGAGAAGAAAAAAAGTAGATAATCATGCAATGGGTAATTGGGTAAAAAACATTTTACTTGACCTACTAAATGAATACAAGCCACTCAAAATTTATAATACTGCCAAAATTCAGCGTTACAGAATATTACTAACAAACACATTAATATTTAAAAGTGAAACTGCAGTTCATTGAAGAAACTAGAAGAATAAGTTACTGTTTTATTAATCTGTAATTTAGACACAGCAATAAAGAACAGTTCTGGTTACAAACTGATGAAAGCAGTAAACCTTGATGTTTGAAAGGAGTCAAGAATTTAATTCTGACCTACTATAACTAAAAGAACTCGTAAATAACAAATAGTATTTTTACTGTTTTTCTTTTGCAATACGATAGCAAAGTGAAAAACGAAAAATAACTGTACAGCACACACATCTCTTTCAGAAAAATATTAGTGTTTCTTTCTGCAAATACAACTTCTAAGATTTAATCTTTAACTTTAGGGCATTATAAAAGCTTCCAAATGTCATATCAGAAAGGATGTTCAGAAAATAATGAATAGAATTGAATTTTGGCATGCACTTCAAAAGAGATATGTGTTTTTATTTTTGCTAGAGGCTATGCATATTATAGTCAATGCAGGGAGCTACGCTCTTAAAATCACTTAAAAACAGTTTTTAAAAAGTGTGGCTTTTACATAGAAAAAGCCTCAGAGAAATTTCAAACTATAATTGAAGTTAGAATTCCCCCGTCTTCTGACTAAACAGAAGTTAGCTCTCCCCCCCCCCCCCCCGAGTTCCAAGCAATCCAAGTTTGTTCCTCCAAATTAGTTCTTGATCAAAAATTAAACTATTAAAGAGCACTTTTTATTGATAGGTTTCCCACCGAGTATTGAGCAAGCAATTTAAAATTCTCATCTCAATATAATAAAAAGCACTCTCTTGTTTTAGAAGATTTTAAAAATTCTGTTGTAGTTCTTTTCCTTCCCTTTATTAAATATAAAACTGCAACCACTTTACAAACATTTAACTTTTGTGTCTCTTTTTTTTTTTTTTTTTTTTTTTTTCCCCTCCTATCAATAAAATTTGCAGCTCCACACTCGAAGAACCAATTCCAGATATGACCTCCTGGGCCATATACAGTATTCCTTGCCAATGTGGTTCAATACACATCGGTCAGATTAAGAGGGCCTTAAAATTCCACATTGAAAAACATGAAATATATGCTGGAAAAAATAAATGCATAAATCTTCTGTATCTCAACAGTGTTGAACAAAATGTTTCAAACGATAATTAAAGTTCAGAGATGGAAGTTATGAGGATTCATTTTTAGATCTGCCATCACAAAAACACTAGCATAAGATACAAGAACACTGATTATGAAAGTGTTATGAAATGAACTGAAGAACTGATTATGAAAGAATTGCGGAAAATAGCAACGAAAGAGATGATATGCCATGATCAATGACATCTGGAAAAACCATGAAATCTAGATTCTGAGAATAATTCTTGAACTGAAAGACGCTAATCGTAAAAGCTATCATCAGTATCATCAATTTTACGGAATTCAGAATGAAATTAAAAACTACTGCCAAACAATATGAAATAAGCACAGACAGAATAACTGTTTCCAAGAGATAAGATTTCATTACTAATTATAAAACTATTTTTATAAAAACTTGAGGAATGAATTCCAAAATTGCCTAAATAATTTAATTTTAGTCTAAATTTTCAATTATTATTTTAGGATTAACTGTTAGTCATTATTTTATTTGAAACGTTTTAAGATTAATATCACACTGTTTGCAACACACAAGTCGTCTTCTAGTAAAAGCTGTTAAATGAATACTAAAGTAGTCATAAAAATTGTATCTAAGCACCTTCACTTTTGTGGAAAGGGCAATTTAAAAATTTTTCTTTGAACTCATGGATTATAGACTGTGTTGTATTAATGATAGATAAGCCAACGCCATAAAAATAATAAAAATAAAAGAAAAAATATTGCAAAATGAGTGTAAAATAATGTTTTACACATTTTAATACTAATATTGGAAATATTGTGTATATGTTTTGTTTTTAACCCCTTCGAGCCGGGTAACGCAAACGCGCGCTTATCACGGAGGCCGGCAGTGTCTTACGCGAGCGTCTGTCCAGGGCCTGGGGCTTTTTTGCAACTAAGCCTAAATCCATGAAATTTCCGAAGTATCAACGCATTGTTTAATAATGCTCTATAGAGTATTTAAACGGCTTATGCTTTATAGATTTTTTATACTATATACTTTAATTACCTTATTTCTTGTTTAAATGTTATTCTTGTTAAATTCTTGTTAAATTACCTTATTTCTTGTTTCTATTTTACACATTTTATTTTCATTACTCACCATTTTATGACTTTTAACATTATACATCGAAAAACTAAATATATTACTAAAAATTCTCTTTTCGTATGAAAAATTTGAAAACAGGGATCTACACACAGTCCTACGTTACATTCCTTGCACTCGTAATAATTCATTTGCCGTTTTGGAGGATTTTTCCGGGAATGTGAACAAACGAAGCATCGTCGTCTCATTTTCTTATCAGTCTCTTCTGAACAAAGTTTTGGAAAATGTCTTTCAGTTAATCTTTCAGAATCAATATCAGAATATTAGAATTTCAGAATCAATATCTGAAATATTTTACATCATTTCTGCTATTTCATGCTCTGTTAAACATTTTCGACGCTTCGACATTGCAACAGTAAAAACAGAAAGAATTCACGTCTAACAAGATCTAAGTATTTTCTAAAAACTGAACTGCAAACTGAAATACCCAACGCTTTAGCGCAAATAAAACTTCTCTACTTAAATAAACAACTACCACGTGCGAATAAAGTGCGATTTAAAGAGACGTCATAAATCACGCCATTCAGAAACATTTATTTCCCCTTTTGTTTATATAATTCAAAACACGTGTATGTGAGTCATGCTTCTCTCATTTCGAGTAGAAGGTCTAATGTACATGTATCTGAAACCATATGGACATACAGTGCCATCTTGTGGCAGAAATTATAGTTTGAAAAACGTTCCAGGACGCTGGCACAAATACGTGACAGTCGGTAGTGAACGGGAAAATGCTCTGGCACTCCTGCGTGTCGGCTGGGAAGTGAGTGCGTTCGTTGCTGGCACGTAGAAGTGACAGTCGGCGCGAAGGGGTTAAATCAGTTTTGCTCCGGTTCTAAAGTGGTCACATGTCGGTTTGTGACCTGAATGCTATAAATTTAAAATTCATTCTGATATTGTTAAGAACTAAACAACTGAAATAACTTAAGAATCAAAGTAATATCAGTTTTCTAAATAATAATAAAAGTAAATTTAAAAGTGAAAGAAGATAGCTTTTTAATATGCAATCAGGATATGATTTGATCAGAAAAGAATTTTATCAGCATTAACAATTACAATAAAGCAAGAAACAATAAATAAAAAATTGAACTGCTAATTAAAAAGAACTAGTACATATATGGAATGTTAACATTCCAAATATGAGAGAGCACCTAAAAGCAAATATGAACAAAATCAACCAAAAATAAACTAACTGAGAATAAGCTAAAAGAAAACATGGCAATTTAAACAATGGAAAATTAGCAATTTAAGAATTTCATAAAAACTAACATATGTAACAACCAAGAATCAAATTACGATCTGTAACCAATGGAACCCTCGTAGGATGACTTTATGATGATCACATGAGCTTATGAACCTATGATGTCATAAAAAAACACATCCTCTCTAACATCACAAACTACTTTTTGTGAATTTTCAATTTTTCTCATGGTGCTTTCTTTACTGAAAACGTTTTGGCAACACTGCTACAAAGTCATGATAAGTCATGGCTGCACATATTTTTAAAAATGCTTGGCATAATTCATGGCTAGCTACCATATTTCATGATGAGGATAGACATGAATTTGAAAGATTTCATAAGCAAAAGGCAAAAATTTGCAAATAGAATTTGAGAAAAAATGCATAGAAGTGATAATGATGATGATATAATACAAGTTTTGCATTGCGATGACAATGTCCTATCATAAATCAACTAATGGGTCAGTAAAATCTGTAGTACGATTTTAAATCAAGAAAATACTGCTACCTATATTGAAGAAAATGACAAAAAAGTCGTTGAACATGTAAAGATTACAGATGAGAATTTACTGGGAATTCTCGATACAGCAGTTACACGACTTTAACCATGGAACTTTATAACTGAACAAGAAACTGTGTCCATAAAATGAAAGAAATTATTAATAGGGAAAAAAAATGGCATAAACAACTTGCATTGAAAGAAATGCTTAATAAAAAAGACTAATAAATATTGAGCCCTCCTTTTATTTCCTATTTTGATTCCCTCTAAATTTTGATTCCTTTAAGGCTACAAATGTTTCATTATTTCATATTTTTAATTTTATAATTTTTTTCATGTCATCTTAGTAAATTTAAACTAATTATCTAAAATCTGAAATAACCAAAGTACCGATAATTTCTGATCTTGGATTCTGTACTGCATAATTTCTTTGATCTGCTTCACCCAAACAATGCAGTTTTAAAACTATTAAAGCGCTTGGGGATTACAAAATGCCTTTATACAGAAAATACTAAGGGGAACTGATACAGTATTGGGGAAAACCCATATACACTCCAGCGGCCTTTCTTCCTTTAGTTTAATGCAAAATAACATCTAGTAATATTTTAACATAAAAATGATAGTACAAAGTTATAAAATAAACTCAAACCTTTTATGAGCTTTTTCATCTGCACTGTCAGCTACAAAAGCTTTTAATTCATAATCCACTCCACATGGCTTGCCTGTGTCACCTGGGGAAGGCTGTAGTGTAACGGATGCTGGACAATGTGGTGGCAACTAAAAATTAAAAAATTATTATCTCTGCATCCTTCAGTATGAATCTAATCTTCCTGAAATACGAAGAATAAAGTCATCCCTCGGTGGTTTTATAATACAGTAACAAAGTTTTTCTGAGGTGAAATAAGTATTTTTGAGGGCATAGTAAATCATAATCTTCAACAGGAGTTAGCTACACAGAAGGGAGAAAAAAAAGCTAAAAGAAATAAAAGTTTTAAAAAGTTTTTATCAGTCACTTTTTAAAAAAATTAAGCATGGAAAAATAAACTACCCAACATTGAAAATGATATAATTGCACCCAAAACAACCATGATGCTGCATTTTCACGTGGTAGGGCATTCCACAATTGCTACCAGATAGGACATGTGTCCACATATAGATGCCACATTCATACATGGCGACTATCATTAGGGAAACAGAAGTGTGACTCATCTGAGAATACAACCGTGTCATTCTGCTGTCCACATCACTCGAGCCTGGCATCACTGCAGACACTGGCATCTATAATGTGGGATCAATGACAGTCCTCTTAACACACACAATGAGTGCAGATCGCTAGCCACCAATCGATGGTAAATGGTTCTGTTTGATATGGGAATATCCAAGGTGTCTTGAACATTCTGCGGAATGGAGGTACAGGTGGCTTGCGGATGCATCGATCGACGCATGCTGACATCATTCTGGCTGCATTGGCAGCTCTCAAACTTGTCACATTTCCCTGTTCCAACCATTGTTGCCACAGGTGGTGCACAGTGGATGCATCCAGGTGTGTGTCAGCTGAGATTTGCTGTATGGACCAACCTGTCCTTGACAATCTGATCACCAAGCCCCTTGTAAAATCGCCTGTCTGCTGGAACTTCCTCCGTTGATGGCCTGGCATTCTGTTATTACACACGTCCTCTGAGACAAGAACAAATTTTCTACGATGATTTCCCTAGCAGAAATAACGGCATAAAAACTGAACATTCTGCAGGTTCTTTCCCTTATATCTTCTTGAACGTGCGATGCAGAGCTGTGCATTTCGCATCACTCGGAGACGTGCGTTTACCATGAAATTTACAAAATTTTCAGGCCACTCCTTCTTGATGTTGCATTTTCAATGTCAGGTAGTGTATAAATAAATGACTGTAAACTACTCTACAAGTCCAAGCTGGAAAAGAGAATTTTTTTGCACCCTGGACAAGGCATTTCTGGCAACTTTTAAGTATAGTATTAACACAAAGAAACAGCTTATTTAAATTAGCTTTTTGACATGAACCCTGTCATGAGGTCCTGCTTGCATCCCCAATCTTTAGTCCCACCTGCATCCTTCTTGGATCTCCATTCCTTAATCCCATGGGCATTCTGTCTGGCTAACCTACTTCTTAATCTCGCAATACAATGCATCGCTGAAACAATAATGGTGTGCATGCCACCTAATATACATAAAGGTATTGGAAGAGTTTTAGAAGCTAGACGCATGTACTTGTTTTAATAGTGTATTTATTTGTAAGCCAATAAAACCAAGGCCTCATTATTGCAGATGTTCCTACAATGCAAAAAGCAATGCAAGCAAAGATCAATGGGTCTTAAGTAAATGCAAATACAAACATTTTCGATTTGAGACAATAACACAGCAAATTATACAGTATCTCGATATCCTACATTTAAGTTTTCACTTGTGCTGAAAATTGTACTGTGTCACAAGCTTTTTACATAATAATTATAAGCACAGTTAACTGAAACATTCATGACTATTGTTTACTATTCCTCAAATAAAAGATGGTAAATATGTTTTTCTGACTCAAATAAAATATTTGGAAGTTACATACATTAAGTACATTTCTAACTTGCTGAATACAACTTGATTTTGATGCTCATGATGCAGAGATGGGAAAAAAGAAACATACATTCTAACACTTCAATCATGAATTTAAAACCTCATCTTCCCTCATGGAAACAGTGATTATAAAATGATATTTTATGGATTCCTAACACAGTGAAGAAGTTTGCATTAACTTTGCTCAACATAAACATTCTTTGGCATCCCGTGCCAAATGATTTGCAATAATTCACTTTCACATTAAAAACAGAAAATCCAAAGTGAGCTTTAGTGCTGAAATACGAAATTCTGATCACATGTACACATATTGCTTTAAAAAAAGATTGCTCAATTAAGGTGCTGCTAGGACAAATTATCATAGATCCATGGTTTCTATTAAAGGGAAAAAAAAATCCAATATGATAAAACTTTCAACATTGTCATAACACAATACCGTTTAGAAAAAGAATATAAAGCATTTTTAGCTTGACTTTATAAAAAGTTAATGAGAAAATAGTTTATAACAGCTAGCCAAAAAAAAAAAAAAAAAAAAAAAAAAGTCACAGGATCAAAATTAATCTTTATATCATTAACAAAATACTGCAGTACTATTTAAAAACACTCCTAGTGAAAGTTGCACATGTTAAGATTCTAAATGGTAATTCCAAAATTATACTTTTTACATTAGAAAAAAAATCATGTCTCAGGTTTCAAATTTCCACTTCTAGAAATGAGATAAAATTCAAATATTTTACCTAGTGAAATTTAATTTTCAGACCCTAAAGTTGACATTTCGAGATTTTTTTATTTAATGAAAAATATATAAATCACATATAATTTTGTAAATTTTTTCCATAGACAATTTTAAAAATTATTGAGCAGCATTTATTACTTGAATATTTTCAACAGGATCAGGAATTACACATTATGCAAAACTTTCCTGGTAGACAGGCCATGGTATACACCATGTCAATCCTTATTTTCTCAACGGTTACTCACAGATGTGTACTACCAGTTATGAAAATGTTTTAAATGATGAAAAGCTTAATATTTTGACATTTTTTAAATTTGAAAAAAAAATCAATTTTGTAAAAATTATGAAATTTAATTTCATATGCATTCCTTCAGTCCCTATACTTAGATTTAGGTAAGTTCTGTACTTGTTTTTCTTTAAAAATAAATAAAACACACATTGATTCCTATATGACAAAAATTGGCCCGACATTTGGCATTAATTAGGGGCCATAAAGAACTTAAACAGACAATCTTCATCAAGAAAATTTTGTCGTTACACATGTTGCCAGATTTGCTTTGTGGCCACATACAGATAGACTAATTATGCGACAATCCTCCCACCTTTTGATAAATAATACACAATTAGTAATCAAAACATGCAATAAAGTTCTCAGTTCAAAATAATAATTCAGTTTGAAGTTCATTCCAGAAATACAGAAGGTAACTTCAGTCCTTCCCCTTTTTGTCACGACAGGTTTTTGGTTCATTGGCGCACCAGGAAAAGATTGATTTCTTTTGGGTCCTCTTCAACTAATGATGCTCCAGGGGAAGAATTTTCTGAATGGGTCATACCATCTCTACATAAGCTGTTCAGCATCCTTCTGCCAGAATTCTAGTCAACTGACTCCAAAACATGAGCTACTAAACAAATTCTATTTTGGGGAGCTTTAATTTTGTTTCTTCAAATGTATTCATTCAAAAAAATTTTAAAGTTTATCAAGACATGCTTTAGTATGAATGTAGGCTACATTTAATTTTTCTCGACATTCTTTAATTTTCTCATTCAACATCAAAATCTTCAGATTTGGCATCTACAAAAGGAGTACAAATTTAATCATCCAGTTCAGCTAAATCTGTAAAAATTCGATCTAAAGAAGAAAATTTAATTTTAATTTTTCCCGTTTTAAATTTCATTTAAAGACACTATTAATGTATTGTAACACTTTGTGAACATAGCTCTAACAGGTATTCTTCTTTTAATACAATCTTAAATCAATAAAGTCAGTATTAACAAATTCACTGACCTTTACCTTAAAGCATCATGTCCATTCTCATGAATTGTGAAGACACGAATTAATCTGCTTTAATTAAGCAAAACATTCAAGGCCTTGTTCTTTCAGTGGTGGTCATTAGCAGACCAAGGAATAGCTGAACCTATTGGACATTATATATTCTATTAAGATGAAATACTGCTCAAGATGCAATTTTGAACTCAAACCATTAAGTTTGGTAACCAGCTTCAACTATCCAAAACATTAAATGAACTAATTCAGAAGTCAAACAACAAAAATCAGCGTTATACCTACAAAATTAACGCTGATTTTTGTTGTTTGACTTCTGAATTAGTATTTATTCGGTGTGTTATTGTGTCTTAATTAAATGAACTATTAATACTAATTAAAATTATTAGCATTCAATACTAATTAATCAGAATCTAGTATGAGAAAACTTTCACAACATGAAAGATAGATAATAAATGAATAATGTTGGATAGATAATAGATGAATAAAGATAGATAATAGATGAATAATGTTGGACATCCCAACAGCACATTTGCTTTTACTCAATGCTAGAGTCAATAAAATGTTGCTGTCAATTTTACATATGAAATCCGATGAACTTTAATTACAAAAAGTTCCAAATTCAAAACATTAAAAAAGTTATAAGATTATATGTTACAGCAAATCTAAAGTAATAGTCATAATTTAATATTCAGTAGTGCTGTCAAAAATCACTTTAAATTTCACTGTTATAATGCCTATTCACATTGCATTTAAAGTATTGAACTACATACTGAATATGAAATATGATATACACATACACTCCTCCCTTAAATGTCAATAAACTTCAGGTCTTTTAAATCTCTAAGATAAAATCTTAGAGCATAAAATACCACTAATCCTAGTATAGTATACTAATATTTTACTTTTAATTAAGTTACAAAATGATGGCAAATCAACTTCTAGCTCACCTTACAGAGTAGAAATTATTTATAAATGTAGAATTTCTGTTGAGAATGTTTTAAGGAGTGCAGCTGGCTGGAACAGTATTTTTGAAAACTTGCGACAATTTGGAAAAACATGTTTAAAAAAAACTGCAGCATTTTGGAGCAATGCATAATGAAAATCCTACAATTCAATATGGATATTTGATAAATGTGCTAAAAAACTGAAATTTTGAGCTTTTAAGAACAGAACTTTGTAACCTCAAAGTTTATGCAGAAGCAATTACAAATGCATTAATTTCAGTTACAAATAAATCACTAAGCTTAGTTTTGGTAATACAATTAAGCTTATTATGTAGAATAACACCTACCAAATTAAACTGGAGGTATTATAGAGGGTTTAAAATTTCCCTTCATGTGGAAATGAAGTAATACACTATATGATTTATTTTCACTTGAACTACCACTAGAGAAAAATTTTCATATTAACTTTTCAAAGTAAACAGTGATTTCTTTCTATTCAAACTAGAAAGTCACCTGTGCATAGTTTTAGACACATGAATTTCATTATGTATTGAGTTTTCTTTCATGCATTACCGCATAATTATTTGTACATACTATTTTTTTTTATTCCTTTTTATTTCAGCATAAATTTTGAGCAACAAGAACTTTCTTTTTAGTTTAGTACTGGATGTTTACTCATTTTCTAACAGTCTGTTATTGTAAAAATATACTACTGATAAAATTAGTAACATTTAGGCAGCTTTTAGCAAATGGACACCACTTATATTCTTACTGTAGTCTGAAGCAATAGATACACAAGTAACAAAACTGAATGACCTTTATTTAAACATAGCCTTCCAACTCACATGAAAGTCTTATGACTGTGGCAGGGATAAAGTAAAATGAAAATCTCCATTACTATTCCCAGCAAATTTTTTAAAATTTGCATAGTGTGCTTCGACATATATTGGTACTGGGCTATACCATTAATATATGGCACAGATTGGATACCTATGTTTTGATTTTACTCATTCATTACCATAGCAGACAGGATTTTGAAATTTGGCATTAGAAATACTTGAAAATAAAAAATTTTTAAATTAAAAACTAAAACTTGCTTCAAAGAAAAAAGGGTACGCATCAGGGCCAAGTTTTTTAATTAACCGCTCCTGCAGTCTCGTAAGAGGATGCTTAATGTCTCCTTCTGGTGGTGGGTAGATTTGTTCAGAAGCTAAGTAGAGGTCCTTTCGAAAGGTGAGTCCAAGCACATCTAGATCTTCTCTTCCATAACGAAATGCTGCTAAGACATGACCATAAACTTTATGTTCTTTGACAAAATCGGGATCAATAAGAACAACACCATCTAAAAGAATATATATATATATATATATATATATAAATATTTCTTTTCCAAATTTATAAAATTATTTAATATATAAAGATTTATTCAATATATAAACTTTTGAACTAAATATAGTTAAGCAAAGTGCTTTTTTCAGTTAAGCGAAGTGATTTCACTAGAATGCAAGACTAGGAAATGATGAATACACATTAACCATTACAATGGTACATCTTAATAATTTTCTCTATTTAATAGCTATTTAATAAGGCTCTCTATTTTATAAAAATGTATAAAAAATTAAAAATCTGGATGCAGAAATTAGACATAGTTAATTCTATAAGACTAAACCCGTGGTGCGGGTCAATTTGACCCAAATCATTGTTAATTTGTCACCACGAGAAAAGTATTAATCGAAAAAATAAATTCATTTTGTGACTTTTAATAATATAAGGTAAACAGTAATTTACTGGATTTGAAAATGCGTAACATAAATAAATTTCTGATTATTAACACTTATACCTAGAACCGCGAAGCGGGTCAATTTGATCCGTAAGAAATAATTATGGCTAAATGATGAAAAACAGATGCATTTCCTTGGATGTAAGCATAAACTATATCTGACTTTCCCTCAATTATAAAGGAAGGATCACAAATGATAAAGGAAAAGATTTTGAAAGAAGTTGGAGGCCAAACACCACATGCTAAACACAATGCTATAGACAACAGTCCGTGAAATGCCTGGAGACTTTTCATAGATGAATGGGTATTGAAGCATATCAAGAAGTGCACTAAGATGAAGCTCATCGACAGATTCATAAAAATAAATAGAATATAACAATAGAAGAAATAGATGCTTTCATATCAATTTTATATGCACGTGGTATACACTGGTGTGCAAAAATTAAGGGCGAAGTCGAAAAATTAGCATATCAGCTGAACAAAGAGGCAGAGTGGACAGAAAGACCAATCAGGAGATTAAGTAAGGTGATGCACGGTAGCACATGCGCAGATATGCAGGTAGACGTAATGAGGGAGTGTCTGAGTAGTATAAAGCATGTTGTCGGCGTAAGATCAGTATTTCTGGCAAAGAGATTGCACGTCGTATAGCAGTTAAAATCACACCGAGTTGCTGCCTCAGCGAGAAATGGCGAATAATCAATCTGTTAGACGACATCTGGATGCTTTTACCCGAGGTCGAATCATTGGGATGTTGGAGGAAGGCCGCAGTGTGACAAGTGTGGCTGCAGAGTTCGGAATTGCTCACAGCATGGATTCACGACTTTGGAGACAATTTCAAACTACAGGAACAGCTATCCGGGGGTTTAGTAGTGGTCGTCCACGAGGAACCACACCCGCATATGACCGGTATATTGCCCTACAGGCCAGAAGACACAGGCGGCAGACAGCGGGAGAAATCGCTAGACACAGGACACAGGCGACTGGACGACCAATATCGCATTTTACCGTGGTCAAAAGACTGCACGGTGGTAGTCTGTTTGCATGACGCCCTGTACGGTGTGTACCTCTAACGCCTGTCCATCGGAGAAGGCGTTCTCTGTGGTGCCGGGAACACTGGAATTGGAGAGACAATGAATGGGGACGAGTACTCTTTACAGATGAGAGCAGATTCAGTCTGAGTAGCGATTCTTATCACATACTCATCTGGAGAGAGCAGGGAAGTCGCAATCATCCCTCGAACATCATTGAAAGGGACAGGTATGGAGGTGGCGGTGTTCTCGTTTGGGGAGGCATCATGCTTGGTAGTCGTACAGACCTTCACATCTTCGACGCAGGTTCAGTCAACGGGACCCGTTATTGTAACGAGATTCTTCTTCCATATGTGCGTCTTTTTAGAGGCGCTATGGGTCCGCAGTTCCTTTTCATGGACTACAATGCACCATGTCATCGCACAGTAGCTGCCGAACAGCTCTTAGAGAGTGAGGATATTGAACATATGGATTGGCCGGCACGATCTCCGGATCTCAATCCCATCGAGCATGTATGGGATTTTCTAGGCAGACGCTTGGCAGTTTGTACCTTACCACCAGTAACGAGTCCGGAGCTTCAATTGGCGCTGCAAGACGAATGGGCAGCAATGCCTCAACAACTCATTGACACCCTCATTCTCAGCATGGACAGATGCTGTGAAACCTGCCTAGCAGTCAGGGGAGATCATATCCCCTATTAAAGACCGGATGTCTCTTGCTGGACACCCATCACAGGGATGTTTCGGCCTTCAATCGCATTGTGCTCCATGCTACTTTCAATAAAGCTTCTTTTTATCCCTCTGATTTCTCTTTTAGTAAGTGTTGCTGACATTACTCATGTCCTTACGTATTGGGAATCTTACGGTATTAAATGTGTTGATTTGGAAAGCTTTTGTACAAAGTTATATTGAAAAAACCGTCTCGTCCTTAATTTTTGCACACCAGTGTATATTGTGCAAAAGGGCTTGAACTGGATAGCTTATGATCAATGAACTGGGGACCACCGTTTTTCCGAAATACAATGTCAAGAGACAAATTTTGTAAAATAATGAGATTCGTACACTTCGATATAAAATCAATGAAATGAAATCGTCTAGAGACAGACAAATTTGCTCTTATCTCCAATACTTGGAATTGTTTCATTGAAAATTGTCAGACTAACTATACACCAGATCCTAATATAATTGTAGATGAACAGTTATTTCCTAAAAAAGCTAGTAGTAGGTTTATTCAATACATGCCAAACAAACCAGATAAATTTGTAATCAAGTTCTGGTTAGGTGCAAATGTTGACGCAAAATATCTAATAAACTGATTCTTGTATCTTGGAAAGATAACCAAAGTCTATCTAATGTTTCTCTTTCTGAATATGTAGTACTGAGAGTAAAGTAAGTCCATATGAAAACAAGGTAGAAATGTTACTACAGATAACTTTTTCATAACACTGAAGCTGGCAGGGGCACTGAAATCCAAAAACGCCAGCCCTGTAGGAACTGTAAAATGCTCAAGAAGAGAACTACCAGTCTCTGTAAAAATTTCAAAATCCGCATTGCATTCGACTACGGTACTAACACATAAAGACATCAGTATAACTGTTTATCAAGGAAAAAGAAACTTTTTATTGTTAAGTAGTCTTCATCCAACTGTAGAAATTACAGATAGTCCCAAAAAACTACCTGATACAAGGGCTTACTACAACCCAACTAAATACGGTATGGACGTGATTGACCAAATGACAAGGAAGTATACTGTCAAGTCTGCTTCACGTAAATGGCCGGTGCATCATGTTTTTTATAATATTTTGGTTCTTGCTGCTATCAATGCTCGGGTTTTATACAAAGCCGTATCTGTAAAATCTATTAATAGATGGCAATTCGTTCAAGACCTAAGCCCCCGTTCACAAAAGAGCAGATTTCGCTGGCAGGAAAAATCGGTTTTTCCAACGTGTAACATTCTCATGGCAAACAAGCATTAACTGCTTCTCCGAATTGGAGGTAGAATTTGTTAAAATGCTCCTACCTCTCGGGAGCAGGGCAAATGGAGAGATTTCCCATACTATACTGCGCGACTGTGCGGTTCTTTTAATTTTAGTTACTGCTCGCTGGATTGTCAGCGAAAGAATTGCGCTGATAGACGTCTGGGGATGTGCCCCCAAAATTAGATAGAACTGTACAAGATACGGAAATTATAGACAAATACAGACAAGGTTATCTGATGCTGGGTATTTCAGAAATATCGTTCAAAATAAAACTAAAGTTAAGACAAATACATATCGGGTCCAACACGACAAGGGACTCTGTACCTTTTGAATGACTTTTTTTTTAATTTAAGCATTTTCATCATCTACTTTTTATGAATATTATTAAATGGTTTTGTAAGATAAAATAATTTTAAGCTGAAAAAAAGTTTTTGCAAGTAATTTTTTTAAATTAAAATTTTTGAAGAAAAATTTTACAATTAAAATGTCTTTCTTCTCTTACAATTTTCAAAGTCTTCCCCCAGTTTTTTTATTGTATTTATTAGAGTGTTCTTAATAACTTCAAGGAATGATTTTGCAATTAATGAATTAGTTTCTGAGGAAAAAATAAAAATACACCTTTATCTAAAATCTTTAAAACAAATATGATTTCAGTTACATTTTCATTTCAAATAATTTTTCTTTTCAGTATTTTGAAAAACCCATCTTTGTTTCTATAAAGTATATAATTTTAAATAAGCAGTAAAAATAATTTAGTCCATACCTGTATATGTTTTAGGACTTTAAGTAAAAGAATTTATCGAAAAAATGCACAAGGTTTCTCAGTTTGCATTTGCAGTTTCACTCTTTTAAAATATTTCTACTTTAATTAAACTTAGGAGATAATATAATCAATTAATCAATATTGTTTAGGAAATAAATTATTATTAACTAACTTTGCAGCAATTGCGCAAGTAGTAATAACTTGTTTTCGCACTAAATGAATTTAAGATCATACAACGTTATATATATATATCAAACCTAGTGCTATTTATTCAATTGGCAAATATAAACATAAATTATAAACCTCTTTTTAAAACCTCATCTGGGCAGAAAAAATTGCAATAAAATCATAAAACGCAAGCAGAATTTTTCTTTACCTTTTTTTTTTTTTTTTTTTTTTTGTTAAAACATGTTCAAAACAATTTTAATATATTAATTAATGATAATATTGTTGCATGCGTACAGGTTCATAATAGATTGATAATAGTTCGTAAATGATTGTCATTGCACTCAAATCCGATGATAGCTTAATTAAATTTATTTTATCAACAGAAACACTTCAAAGTTCTGGAATTTTCCACAGAAATACTCGTACAAGTGTTTAGAATATCACTAAGTATAATCAGTAGTTATGCTTCAATCTAATAAGAACGTTAAACACAAGGCACTGCAAAAATCATCTTAAGAGAAAGTTAACTCAGAAATATCTCTGATTTCATGCTGAACTAACAACTCGCAACAATAATAACTTATATAGTATAAATAATGTCATAAAAATAATGTGGTATAATGAG